CACCCCACCCCACGTCTCCCAAAAGCTGCCTCTGTGCTGTCAGTTGAGTCGCCTGGCATTTCAAAGCTGGAAGAAACCTCAGTGTCACCTGGTAAACCGGCCGATTTCATAGGCAAGACCCTGAGGTCTAGAGAGGTTAACATGCTCCCTGCTCGCTTATCCTGAATGTTCCAGGCAGGGCCAAGGCCCCAGCAGGTGTCCTGCCTGGGGGCTCTTTTCTTGTCTCTTTTAATTGTCATAGCCTGGCGGAGTAGCCTAGGGCCGTGGTTGGCAAACTGCAGCTCCTGAGCCACATGCGGCTCTTTGGCCCCATTGAGTGTGGCTCTTCCTAAGCCTTAGGAGTACCCTAATTAAGTTAATAATGTACCTACCTATATAGTTTAAGTTTAAAAAATTTGGCTCTCAAAAGATCAATGCTTGTACTGTTGATAATCTGTGAAATGGGATATGTGACATCAGCCCAGCCAAGTCATTGTGGGGGTTAAACGAGGCAGCACATGGAAATAAATCCAGTCGCCTGGTTCCAGGGTCATTGTCTGGGCTCTGAAATGATAACTCTTGTCACTATAACCTTAGCCTAGCCAAAAGGCTTATCTGTGTGAGATCAAGCATCAAAAGGTAGGCATTTGTAGGAGTGGTTTCGCTAAAAGGCTTGGTGTCTGGATTTTAGATGCCAGAGGAACACTCGTAAATGTGTCCTAACAACCTGACCCTGACGTTTTTTGGCTCACAGCACGAGTTCTCTGCAGCACACTGCTTTCCCTCCCTGTCCTCTGTGTGACGTGTCACCTCTGTTGTCCTTGCTGTGGTCGAGCAGAGCCTGCAATGAATGAATGACCTGGAGTCATTCCTGCCCCTGTGTGCTCAGGAACCCTGTTCTTGTTGTAGGACTGTGACCGCTCTTACGATGGAGGGAAGCCGGCTGACGAAAGTATCTCGACCCTACAAGATCAGCGAGTCTTCAAAGGTCTGTGCATGGTCACTCACCTCCTGTGCAAACTGCCTGGGAAGTGTGATTGATGTTTTTCTGATGAGCCCATTCTTCATGTAGAGACTGGCTTTCTAGTGGTGGTGGTGTTCATTTCCTTAGAGGTAGCACAGGCCAGAGTGGAAGAATCATAAAATCAGGGAGCTGGGAGGGGAGGGATGGGAGAGACACAACTCACCTCATTTACTCTGCACCTCAACCCTGACGTGGGTGGGACAGGATGAACGCCATTCCCCGCGTGGGGGCTCAGAAACTCCAAGGACAAGTCCATTGAGAAGCCAGCACCGACTTTGTAGTGGGGGCAGCACATTGCATACCTGGATGTTAAGGGCCCAGGGTCTTCCCCCGACATGACTTTCTGGGGCCGTCGGAGTAAGGGTGGCTCCCCAGGGCTGGGCTACCAACCTGTGTCACACTGGGTATATCCAAATCACCCTGGGAGAAGGTGAGGGTGTCTCATTAGAAATGCATGTCTGGCCCAACCTCATACCTGCTCAGTTAAACTCTGAGACCTGGGAATCTGTGCCTTCATCAAAATCCTCCAGGGCCTGGGAGCAGCCCTCTCCCCACAGCTGCATAAGTAAGGATTGGGGGTGCCTGGTTTTCAGGACAGTCTTCACTTCCACCTACCTGCCTCTTCAGTCAGTACCACCCTCTTTTCTTTAAAAGTGGCCCTTTTTGGAGATTAAAGTTTATGGTTACCTTAGATCATTTTCAGTGAGGCCAATGTTTTCCCCAAGGGGGGGTGGAATTGGTTTTGGGGGTATGGAAAGACTGTTACTCTTCTTATGTTTAAAGCACAGCTGTGCATATCGTACATGCATGGACAAACAGAACGTGTGTGGTGGTCACAATTCCATGGGGGATATTAGAAAAAGAAAACCTTAACAGAAGATTGAAAAAGAAAGATTGAGAAAGACCACATCAGATAAAGGGATTTGTGGAGAGACCGTGGATTTGAGGAAAAATGAGAGAAAGAGGTTCTGCAGATGTGCGTAAAAGAAAGCTGGGTTGTAATTTTCAGGGGAGCTCAGTCTCCTGAGAAGCGGTTTCCTATTTCCTTTTGCGTGTCCTGGGAAGGCTTGCCAAGCCTGGCTTCATCTGCTGTGAAAACCCAGGAAGGTCTCCCTGCTGTCTCAAAGGGGCTTTGTTTCGAGCTTGGCTGCGGAGACGGTGTCACTTTCTAAGTGTGATAGCGCTGGGAATCTTGGTCCCTGAAAGCCAGGCTCTGAGTTGGTTTCTTTCTGAATCAGAGCTTTTAGGAGTAGGATTCTCTACCTCTTGGTTCATTGCATTTATATTCCTAGCTATAAGCGTACCTTGATTTTCTAGACATTAACACACCCATGTAGCCTGTACCCAGATTGTAAAAAAAGAAATTACCAAACCTCTCCAGTCCCTACATTGCCACTGTCCCGACTTCCAACCCTGCAGGTTTGCCTGCCCTTGAACTTTATGTAAATGAGCCAGAGGACAGGCGCTCTTGTTGTGCCTGGCTCCTTGCACTTAGCGTTCTGCATCTGAGAGTCTCGCCCAGCTGGTGCGTGTAGGGGTAGATTGTTCCTTCCCGGCGCAGTGGAGTCTCCTATCAGGCGACCACCGCTGTTCGTGTAACTATTCCAGAATGTGTTGATCCATTTTGATGCTGCATTCTTCTGTTATGAAATACCCCGTACCTGCTGCGTCTGTCCAGTGTTAGCTCCCGAGTCCCTGTGTTTCTCCCCCCACCTTTCCTCGCCTCTGATCAAAGCACTGACATAGAAAACAAAGGCATAACCGGGATTAATACCATCAGAGAATGTTGGAGGCCGGGACTTCGAAAGGATACAGAATGCTGCCAGTCTGTTACTGATGCCCCTTTAAAACCGGGAAATGGTGTTGTCTGCTTTTTGAACCTTCTATCTGCGGCAACACCAAAATAACCAGGTGCAGAATTAAATGCGCCTACTTAGCATGGAGACCCGGTTTTAGAAGCAGCGCTACCCTTTTCCCTGCCCTGGCTCCCTGCAGCAGATGGTGCCCTGCGCAGCTGTCATCCGGGCTTTCCCCGCTATCCGCCCTGGGAGCTGTTTCCCTTTTTACTCAGCAGTGTGGGGTCATGTGTACCCCAATTTAAGTCCCAGCAGCTTCCTCAGCTTAGAGACGACCAGGGGCCCAGGGTGGGCAGACAGCCCACCTGATGCCTCTCCCTTCTCTCTGGAGCCTTTACTACTACAGGGGAGCCTGCTGCTTCGATGCTTTACAATTTCCTTCCTTCAGTCCACACCTGAGCGGGGCCCCAAGCTAGTGTGTGATGGAGCCCAGACCATGCCTGCTTAATTAGAAGCCAAAACCAGGCCAGCCTGGCTCTCTCTGCTACTAAGCAGAATATGCAGAGCTATCCACGTATGGGACCCAGGAGAAACCGTCCTGTGACGTGAGAGCAATGAGCCGGGCTCTCTAAACCCGAATGGGAAGGAAGCTTTAGTCTGGTGTCCTCGTCAGAATGCGAGGCCGTTGCCCGTGCCTGTGATGTAGGTGGAGCATTTGATGTTGGAATTAGCCAGGCAAGGCAGACAGGCAGGACCAGGGGAAATAAAGGACCTCAATTACAGATGTGTTAGAGGCAGTCAGGAGCAGATTGCAGGGGCTGTGGGGGAGGGAAGGAGGGGAGGGATGAAAGCCACTGCTGAAGGATACATGTTGACAAGAACCTGTAAGAATTCGGGGACCTGGAAGCCAGTCACACAGCTGCTCACATCTAAGCCCTCAGTCCATCTTCCTTTCCTCAGTTTCCCCTTTTCAGGCTTAGTGCCCAGCCAGCCCCTTTGCTCAATCGCCCTCAAACCGACTCACTCCCTAGCTGATGTTTCTGAAGGCCTGCTTTTCCCATATTGAATGTTCTTGTTGTTTTTATGGTGAGGAAATAAGCAGGTGTGCAGTATCCTGAAAGCCCAAAGCATAATTAGTTCTCCAAGGATTTGGAAACTGTTGTCTAGGTCTGACATATTTTTGTATCTTCGAAAGCACATGGCAGGCATCTAGCACCGAATAAGTGTCTGCCAATCGGAGTCTATGGGATGGATTCCTATTCATTATTCACATTAATTGATCTGTTCATTGTAGTGTAGCATGGCGATCACAGGTCTGGGCTCTGGAATCAGACCTACATTCAAATCTCAGCTCTGCCTCAATCACAGTGGGGCTTTGGGCCAATTTCTTAGTCTCTCTGACCTTAGTTTTTCTCATCTGGAAAATGGGGATTATAATACCCGTTCTCTCAGAGGGTTTTTGTGATGCTCGAATGAGACTGCATGTCAGGTGCACGGCACAGGGCAGGGTACATGTAAGCCCCCCAAAAAGACAGCGTCTCTGCATTTCACATGCAGTGTATCTCTTTCAACCCTGCCGTGGCTGGTGAAGCCATGTTTCTGGAAGGAGGGTCTCCAGAGCACTTAGTCTGCATCACTGGAAACGGGGGTCTCTTTAGCATAACCACACGCCTTTCTAAGACACAGAGAAAGCTGCCTTCCCCGGCACAGCGCCTGAGTAGGGGTCACAGCGCCTCAGTGGGGGTCACAGAGCCTCAGTGGGGGTCACAGAGCCTCAGTGGGGGTCACAGCGCCTCAGTGGGGGTCACAGAGCCTCAGTGGGGGTCACAGAGCCTCAGTGGGGGTCACAGAGCCCCTCAGCCACCTGAGTGGTGGGTATCCTCGTCCTCACCTGTGAGATGAGGAATTGGAGGCTCAACCGCGACCACATAGCCAGTAAGTGGCAGAGCTGGATGCAAACTGCGATTCCGGCTGGCCTTAGAGGCTGTGTCCGAAGCCACTTCTCTCTCCTGACAGGACAGCATTTTTCAAATCGATGTGCCCCTGACCCACAGGAAGGACGGGAGGGAAGGAAAAAAGAAACCTTTTAGGAATTTTATTTATAAAGAAGGAAAAGAGAGGTAAGAGGAAGAGAGGAAAGAAGGAAGATTGATTTTAGGAATTTTTAAAAATATATATTTTATTGATTTTTTTACAGAGAGGGATAGAGAGTTAGAAACATCAATGAGAGAGAAACATCGATCAGCTGCCACCTGCACACTCCCCACTGGAAATATGCCCGCAACCAAGGTACATGCCCTTGACCGGAATCGAACCTGGGACACTTCAGTCTGCAGGCTGACGCTCTTTCCACTGAGCCAAACCAGTCAGGGCAGGAACTTTATTTACAAAGAAAAAGAAGAAGGAAGATATATCCAATACACATAAACCTTGTTTCCTGCAATGTATTTTGTTTCCCAGTCTCCTTCAGTCCACTGTATTTATTTGTTCATCCTCACCTGAGGATATGTTTTCCCATTGATTTTTAGAGAGTAGAAGGGAGGGGGGAAAGACAGAGAGAGATCAATTGGTTGCCTCCCACACATGCTGACTTGGCGGAGTGGGGATGGAGCCTGCAACCCAGGTATATGCCTGAATCGAACCTGTGACCCTTCAGTCTGTGGGTCGGCGCTCTAACCACTGAGAAACCGGCTAGAGCCATTCCCCTGTATTTAACGTGCTGGTTGTGTCCCACTAGATTGACTCCTGCAGCAGTGCGGGGGCAGGTTGGCGCACTTCCCCTCTCTGGGCCCGGGTGCGAGCCCCTGACACTGCTCTCCCACAGGTGTACCACTGGGCTGAGCACTCGACCACAGTGCTGCAGCGGCTGAATGAGCAGCGTCTGCGGGGCCTCTTCTGTGACATCGTCCTGGTGGCCGACGAGCAGCGCGTGCCGGCCCACCGCAACCTGCTGGCCGTGTGCAGCGACTACTTCAACTCCATGTTCACCCTGGGCATGCGCGAGGCCTTCCAGAAGGAGGTGGAGCTGATCGGCGCCTCCTACATCGGCCTCAAGGCCGTGGTGGACTTCCTGTACGGCGGGGAGCTGGCCCTGGATGGCGGCAACATCGACTACATCCTGGAGACGGCCCACCTGCTGCAGATCTGGACTGTGGTGGATTTCTGCTGCGAGTACCTGGAGCAGGAGGTGAGCGAGGACAACTACCTGTACCTGCAGGAGCTGGCCTCCATCTACAGCCTCAAGCGGCTGGACGCCTTCATCGACGGCTTCATCCTGAGCCACTTCGGCACACTGTCCTTCACCCCCGACTTCCTGCAGCACGTCTCCATGCAGAAGCTCTGCGTGTACCTGAGCAGCAGCGAGGTGCAGCGGGAATGCGAGCATGACCTGCTGCAGGCGGCCCTGCAGTGGCTGACGCAGCAGCCGGAGCGAGAGGCCCACGCCTACCAGGTGCTGGAGCACATCCACTTCCCGCTCATCCCCAAGAGCGACCTGCTGCACCGCGTCAAGCCGGCTGTGTGCTCGCTGCTGCCCCGGGAGGCCAACTGCGAGGGCTTCATCGAGGAGGCCGTGCGCTACCACAACAGCCTGGCGGCCCAGCCGGTCATGCAGACCAAGCGCACGGCGCTCCGCACCAACGAGGAGCGCCTGCTGTTCGTGGGCGGCGAGGTCTCCGAGCGGTGTCTGGAGCTCAGCGATGACACCTGCTACCTGGACGCCAAGAGCGAGCAGTGGGTCAAGGAGACACCCCTGCCGGCCCGACGGAGCCATCACTGTGTTGCCGTGCTGGGGGGGTTCATCTTCATCGCCGGCGGCAGCTTCTCGAGGGACAATGGAGGGGACGCAGCGTCCAATCTTCTTTATAGGTATGACCCCCGCTGTAAACAGTGGATCAAGGTGAGATTAAAGCCAGATTCTTTCTTTACTCTTGAGGACTTTTGATCTCTCTCTAACCTAACCTTGACTGCTCCTCCCTTCTTTCTGGCCTTGACCCCTTCCTGCTTCTGAAGAAGGTGTGATGATAAAGTGACGAGCCACCTAATTCCCCGCCTCCCCGGTGCCTGCACCTGGTTGGGGGAGTGAGGGCCGACCTGCAGGGTCAGTCTAGAACTTTCTGCACCTAGAAAGGTTCTAGGTTCTGTGCTTTTCTAATGTCGTAGCCACCAGCTCTGTGTGGCCGCTGAGCTCTTGAAATGTAGCCAGTGGGACTGAAGGACTGAATTTTGTATTTGATTTCACTTTAATTTACATTTGTGTGTAAGTGGCCACACGAGGTTAGAGGCTACCCCATTGGATGTTGCCGGGCTAGAGATCTGACCCATAGAGATCTGACCCATAGTTCAAACATTCTTGCCGTGGCTCAGAGTCTCGGCCACGCTCCTCTCTGGAAAGGTGTGGAGCTGGTCCGAGGAGGCCGTGAAGGCTCACATCTCCGGCAGGTATGGTGGCTAATTCTGGGAAGAGAGTGGGTCTTGGCGTCAGACCTGAGTTCACATCCCAATCTGGCTAAGTCGTAGCTGGGAATGTCAGACTAGTCCCTTGCCTTCTCCAAATTTCAGCTCCTTCCTCTGGAAATGGGTGGGAGGAGGGCATCGACCTTCCAGGTTCAGGGCTTGTATGTAGCTCATGTTGATTGGCCGGTGCCTGGCAGAGGTGAAAAGGTGTTCCTTTCCCCCGGACAAACACCTCTCTAGACCACACCTATGAAAGTCGGTCTCCGTCTTTATCCTCATACCTCAGTGGCTTTACTTAACGTGGTGTTGTTCTGAGCTCAAAACTCAGAATGGACTCTGCTGATCTTTCGATTTTATTCTCGAAAATCTAAAACCACCCACCAAGGGGTAAGTGCTGATGCTAGAAAGAGGCTCCTGGCTTTGGAACCCATCCTCACAGCTGGGTGGCGGTGGCAGCCTGAATGTATGGTCTCCTGCAGGACTGGGTTGCCTTGTGTGTTCTGCTTGGATTATTAAAAAAAAAAAAAAAAAAGTTGGGTCTTTCGCTGTTTAATTTCCTGTTGAGTTCCTCTTTCTGCCTGTTAACACAATGGCAATCAGCATTCATTAAAAAACTATCTGAGGGGTTGGCAAGAGGAAAGATGAATCTTTAAGAAATCACTATGTCAGCAGTTATGAACTATGTGTCTTCAGAATTCAAGTACATGAGGCTGGCCATGTGGCCAAACAAGTTTGGGGAGCTGTGTTCTCCAAACCCCTTTTAGGGAGTCGCAGTGTCTTGAGGGTCCTTGGGGACTGAGCAGTCCCTCCTAAAGGCCCCTTCTTTCTTTAAGTCCCCTCCGCCACCCTCACTTGGCCACTGCCTCGCCCTCTGGGCCGCGTTCCATAGAACACCTTTGGGAAGTGATGCTGGATGTTGACGCTGCCCAGGGTTCGGGGAAGGGAAGGTACAGGTGTCTTGCCTCTGCAGGTGGCCTCCATGAACCAGCGCCGTGTGGACTTCTACCTTGCCTCCATCGAAGACATGCTGGTGGCCGTCGGTGGCCGGAATGAGAATGGAGCTCTCTCCTCAGTGGAGACTTACAGTCCCAAGACCGACTCCTGGTCCTACGTGGCCGGCTTGCCGAGGTAATTGGCGGTTTTGTGCGAACTCTTCCAATGGGACGACTTTTGGATGACAGTTCAGTTCGCCTCACTTTCTGGATTTTAAGGCTTCGAATTCCAGGAAAAATCTCCTGGCTTGTAAATAACAGTGGGTAGACCCTGAGAGGCAGAGGGCGTGGTGGTGACGAGTCAGGGCTCCTGTTTAGGCTGACCTCGTACAAGTGTCAGCTCTGCCGTTAGGACAAACATCCCTCAGTTCCTGAGTCTGTTCACTTGCTGAGTTTCAGGGGATAGGTACCCACCATTCCAGACCCATACAGAGTAGTTTCCCTGCCCTGAGGCCCCTGGTGCTCCACTGCTTCATCCCTGTGCCCAACCTCCGAACTGCTGGCCACCACTGACACTTCCTGTCTCTCTGGCCTTGACTTTTCAGAACCTTATGGTTGGAGTTGTACTTCACTTCATTTCCCATTTGTTAAATAACTTGATCAGGTACCTGTGTGTGCCTCAGTAGCATGCTGTTGCTGTTTCCAGCCCTTACGACAGTGGTTCTCAACCTTCTGGCCCTTTAAATACAGTTCCTCATGTTGTGACCCAACCATAAAATTATTTTCGTTGCTACTTCATAGCTGTAATGTTGCTACTGTTATGAATCGTAATGTAAATATCTGATATGCAGGATGGTCTTAGGCGACCCCTGTGAAAGGGTCGTTCGACCGCCAAAGGAGTCGTGACCCACAGGTTGAGAACCGCCGCCTTATGAGAAGGAAAGCAGTCTTGTGATTATGCCCATCTCTCAGGTGGGGAAATGGAGAGGGGGCAGAGCTGGGAATTCTTGCCCAGGCAGTCTGGCTGCACACCTGTCTGTTTACTTCCAGTGCGGTGACAGCTGCCATCCATAAGAGTTCACGGGGTGCCCGCTCCCTGCATTAGCCCCTCAAACCCTCACAGGCCCCTCACAAGACGACAGGTTGTCCCCCTTTTGAGAGGAAAAGACTGCGGCCTCAGCTCCCGGAGGCCTCCCCCAGGACAGCACTGAGCTCCCTCTCTGTCTCTGTCCATCCCTCCACAGGTTCACCTATGGCCACGCAGGCACCATCTACAAAGACTTCGTGTACATCTCGGGGGGCCACGACTACCAGATCGGCCCCTACCGCAAGAACCTGCTGTGCTACGACCACCGGACGGACGTGTGGGAGGAGCGCCGGCCCATGACCACCGCGCGGGGCTGGCACAGCATGTGCAGCCTGGAGGACCGCATCTACTCCATCGGGGGCAGTGACGACAGCGTGGAGTCCATGGAGCGCTTCGACGTGCTGGGCGTGGAGGCCTACAGCCCGCAGTGCAACCAGTGGACCCGCGTGGCCCCGCTGCTGCACGCCAACAGCGAGTCGGGCGTGGCTGTGTGGGAGGGCCGCATTTACATCCTGGGCGGCTACAGCTGGGAGAACACGGCCTTCTCCAAGACGGTCCAGGTGTATGACCACGAGAAGGACAAGTGGAGCAAAGGCACCGACCTGCCCAAGGCCATCGCCGGCGTGTCCGCCTGCGTCTGCGCCCTGAAGCCACGGCTGGAGGACAAGAAGAAGAAGGGCAAGGCCAAGAGGCACCAGGACCGGGGCCAGTGACGCCACCGTGCCTGCTGGGACCTGGTCCCCACCGCCACCTCCCAGAGTGTCCGTAGGCCAGCAACGACTTCCTAGAACCCTGGAACCATGATGTATCACTTAGCAGCTTTTTTTACTTTTATGATTCTTAGTATTTCTATACTATCACCGTAATCGATTAAATATTCTACGTAACTTTACATAGTATCTTGCTTGAGTAATTAAACCTCGGCCTAGACAGGATGTATCCCCTTATGTCTATACAGGGCTTCTCTCCACATTACAAATTCTCGCTGCCCGAGAGTAGCGAGGGCAGGGGTTACATAGAAATGTTTGTAGTGAAACTAGATGCTTCGGTGGAACATTTCAGATCCTCCAGCCCTGAGCCTCCCCAAACCTGGCTGAGCTTTTAAAAATGCAGATTCCTGGCCCCCCGCCTCAGACTGACTGAATCTAAAGCTACCAGGAGTGGTGAAGGGAGTGGCTGGAAACTATTTAACCAGTTCCTGGAATGACTGAGCATCAGCCACATTAGGGAATCACGGACAGGGTCAAGTGCGTTTGTTTTTATAAGTGGGGACACAGGGACCTGGAGAGGGCGAGAGAGTGACCAGGGCTCACCAGGTCACCTAGGGAAACCTGGACTTCTCACCGGGGAGGTATCCCCCTGAGGATTTTCTTACCAAGTGACTGTTGTTTCTGAATTCTCAGTTTTCCTGGTTAGTAATCTTCCTGAATTCCAAAAGGGTTTTAAGTCATCAGGGAAGAAGGGAAAACAAGGCCTGAAGCTCTTTATATACATTATTCTACAATTTGTGCTTTTTTTTTTTTTTTTGACTTTCTCCTTTTCCTGGCACCCACTGTTTCTGATGTACTGAGCCCCCAAACCTACATTTATTTCTCAGGAAAGAAAAAGGCAGCACCCTAGGATTTAGCACTGTTCTCTGACTCCAGCTCCTAGAAGCATTTCTTGAAAGCGTTTACACGCGTACGCGCACGTTAAACCCCTAAGAAGGTTGAGTGTCTCGCCAACTCAAGCGACAGGCCCTGGTCCCAGCCATCGGCTGGCTGCTAAGTAGTTTTGTGCTGCTGGGCAAATTCTTTAATAAGTCGTGAGCTATTTCCTCATTCATTAAGCAACAGGGTCAGATGAAATAACGGCTAGGCTTCTCCCAGCGGTTAAGCTCTTTCAGTCGGTATAAGCTATTAAAATAGTCAGCACCTCCTTCTGAGAGAGGTGACCACCCTGCACTGACTGCTGCAGTTTCTAGAGCATCAAGAGTATGCGCCCTTTAAGAAGAGCTTGAGACTACTGTCCCAAGACATGATGTACCACAAAGTATGAAGGGAGGAAAAGAATGTGACCAGTTTTAATCATGGGCCAAAGGAGGCATTCATGATCTATACCTTGGCAGAGATGAGAAGATTTCAAGGTGCATTGTTAGCGTTGGCATTAGAAGAAGACTATCAATTAGCTTTATTTTATTTTTGTCTCTTTACTCCCTTTCCTTTCTTTCAAGGTTTTCCATGATTTTTATAGCAGCCAGGGGAGCTGAGAGTGGGCGTTTAAAGCTTCATTACCCAAATCATTGCCCTCTGTTGCTAGCTGGGAAAGCAGTCTGCATAGTTAGCTAGTTTCTTATATATGGGAGTCCCTAGAGGCTTACACACTGTTGAGAAGTTCTGCAAGGCATACAAACGAACCAAAAAACCGCACTCTTACTGTGGCTTGACAACCCTTCTGGGTATTACAGGCTCTGAGACGTCCTGCATTAACTGTTAACCTTCCATCAACCAGCATCTCCAAACTTTGTTGAGCCTGAAACCCTTTTTTGTCTCAGCCCTCCACGAAACATATTTTGCAGAACTTCTACAAACTTTGGGATAGCTGAGCCCCTCCCTTTTCCAGGAAAGGGTTCATTGCTCAAAGACCCTTTAGGTCACAGTGGTTCTCAACCTTCTGGCCCTTTAAATACAGTTCCTCATGTTGTGACACAACCATAAAATTATTTTCGTTGCTACTTCATAACTAATGTTGTTACTGTTATGAATCGTAATATAAATATCTGATATGCAGGATGGTCTTAGGCGACCCCTGTGAAAGGGTCATTCGACCGCCGAAGGGGTCGCGACCCACAGGTTGAGAACCGCTGCTTAGGAGGTACAGAATCTACGGTTCTTTCTTGCTCAGCCCTAGTAAAGAGGTGGTCGACCAGAACCAAAGGGCAGGAGGGAAGAGCTCATAGAAAGACGATTTGTGCCTTGGGAGACAGATGACTTTGACCTTGGGAGAGGGGAGCCATCAGTTTGTAGCCTAAGCCAGCTATTTTATTCTTGACCGCCAGGACGTGTCCCAGAATGCAGGCCTCTGGCCTCTGTTCTGACTTGTGCCTTGGTCTTACAATGTCCTGCCCCTAATATTTTGTGATGTCTCTCCTTCCACTATGAAGGCACTTTGTCATCCACACGGCTTAGAAGCTAATATGCAGGTCGAGGGGACATTTCTTTAAAGGTAGACGAGATAAGTAAGTGTCCTCTTGTGAACCAACTTCAAATAACGTGGTGGCTACGCGTACACTAAGAAAGGTTTTCAAATTCCTTGGGGTCAATGGCGGGGCCAGCATGGTTTTCGCTGTCCGTGATTCAAGATGGAAATCCCCGCTGTGCCGTCCAACTAAGAATGGAAGGAAATGGCTTTAACTCCGTCTGGCAGGTGGCCTTTTGAACTGCAAAATCTTGAAGGCATCGTTTCCAGCCAAAGTGAGAAAGACAGGTTCTTGCAGGCTGCCATCTTGAGACGAAAACAGCAACATTTGCCATGGTGTCATCAAATTCTTAGCGCTTCGAGCGGAACTGTGGGAGTATCTGGATCATTTGATCTTTCAAAATAAACATGGTGGGCTTTTATTCAGATGTTTTTTCCCCTCATTTTTAAAGAACTGGAGTTTTAACTTTATATTAGTGGTAGGTTTTGAGTTTGACCCTCATCCCAGCTGGAACCTTGTTCGCTTAAGACATCAATGGAATCATGGGAGGGGAGAGAAAAGCTGGAGAAACCCTGGTTCCTTAGAGTGGTCTTTCTGCTGTCCAACATACTAGTGTACAGAGACTGTCTCAGCAACGTGCTTGTATGGATGGCTCCATCAGTATTTTTAACGTTCGGCTACGTTAGCTAGACTACCGGGTAGGACTTCCAGATTTTGGTCTGAGCAGAAAACCCATGTGTGTATTATATTGAATGTTCCTCCCCTTCTCACTGACTGATAGGTGACCTGACCTCATGATGACTTAATAGAAACCCCAGAAGCCAACCCTCAGAGGTGTTCAGTTTTGGATGGAAACCCAAATGCCAGGAGGGGGTGGAGTCCCTCCCCTGAGGTCCAGGGACTCCCTCTGTGAGTTCAGGTGAGTTTACCTGTGGTTCGAAGTCCCTGGCTCCAAGTCTGGGAGTGAATGGCCTTTTGGTGGTTTGAGCAATGTGGGTTGGGAGAGGACCGCCTCCCACCCCCCCCCCCCCCACCACCACATCACACCCCCCCTACCCCTT